ACAGAGCACGTGGTTTCTGCGCAACGGACCAATCACAGCGTGCTCCACAGTGTCTGGCCAAACACCATTGGCCGCTCAGACAGCGTGTCCATGCTCATTCGTTTCATTGGCTCTTTTAGCAGAATACGTGACACCAATATATCCAATCACGGCGCTCGTATGTCTTAAGCTTGTGGTGATTGGTGGATGAACTACCTGCTCTTACAACGAAGCTGCTGTAGGGCGACACTGAGTGGCTGCGGTTTGGAAGGCCGAAGAATGTCTTATTTGGTCATTTTTATAGCTAAGAAGCTCGCGCTTTTACTAAAATAAACGCATTTATCATACCTTATGAAAAATAAACATTTTCAAAAGAGTTCCCTGAAGACGAATGCTGTGTATATGTGTGTATATTTTAGTACCTGTCCTCTCTTTTCTGTATTTCTTCAACAATTCAATTCACTTTCATTCATTATATTCTTACTGTAAAGCAAAACTACGTTTACAAGTCTCGTTAATTTGATTGCTCGTCATACCTTTTCATGGTTATTTAAAGTGCATCGTTTTTTCTTCTGATATTATTTGTACGATATTTTTCAGTGACGCTGAAAAAATACAGATTAAAAACTGTATTTTCTCTAAGGTCCACAAGATGGCGGGATCGTTTCAGGTGGTCGGTCTGGTCGCTCTGACAGTTTGACAGCCGGCGTGCTGTTCTGTCTGTCTTGGAACTGAAGCCATTTTCTTATATGGGTTTAGTTTATGATTTGTTAATCTTGAAGGATTAAAAGCTTCTACTGTACTGAATCTAGTCTACTTTACTCAAATGCACAGTAAGCACACCAGTCAAATCCCATGGTCACTGTCATAAAAAAAAACCTCAATACACTATTTGCAAAACCTCAAAGCTATGATGACCGTGCTGCCATATTCAACCTTTATGGCTTTAAAGAGCTAAAAAGAACTGGACTTCTTTCCTTTTTTTCTCATTTATATAGCCCTGGTCTTGATGTTTTAGTGTACCGTTGGGTACTCCTTGGTTCATGCAGTGAGAAGATAATGTCTTTTTTATTTTGTACTTATAAATATGAACAAAAAGTATGCATTCATAAGTATAAATGATGACATGTTTGAAAAATGAAATTTTGGAAAAAAGAGACCAGACATGAATAACATTAGAACATTGTTGCAAAGTAGATGTTGGCAATTACACCTTTGAGACATCTACAGTATGAATTCATTCATTTTTTGCAGCACTGTGGTTCAAGTTTGGCACATTCCTTTTGGTAAACCGTCTTCGGGTCCTCAAGATTATGAGGGTCCCTCTTATGGGCTCACAATTTCAAAATCCTCCATAAATTTTCAGGGGGATTCAAGTGAGAAGATTGGCTGTACCTAGCACGCACCTTCACCTTCCTTGTAACCAGCCTTGAGTTGTATATTTGGAGTTGTTGTTTTGACAAAACCTCAAGTTTAATCCTCTAATATGTCTCTGTATATCACTCCATTCAGTTCCTTCAGTGATGTGTAATGCCCTGCCTCATGATGACATGATTCTCCCACCCCCATACTTCACTGTAGGTATGGTGTTCTTGGGATTACATGCACAACTATTCTTTCTCCAAACATGACAAGCTGAATTACTGCCAAAACGTTCTATAGCTGACCAGAGAACATTGTTCCAAAGTGTTCAGTCTGTCAGTGCTCATGTGCATTTTATATGCACATCTCTGTGCTTCTCTTTTAGCAAAGAAGTTTTGCGTGGTGTGTAGGAACAAAGATGATTGTCGTGTTCTTTGAGGAACCTCACCAACATTCCACAAACAAACCAACAAGCTTTGTCAAATGTCAAATGTGGTGGTTAAGCTGCTTTGGGGGTGGTACACTACAGTTTGAGTAGCTGATATTGGTGTAGCGTTAAAAATGAAAAGTACACTTATTTTCATACAAGGTCATTTCAATTCACAGAAGTGTTAGCTTGCTTGTAGCATGTATGTAGCATTATTTAAATTTCAACTCCTTAACAGCCTCGTAATTTAGAGGCTGGGCGTGGGGGTGGGAGTGTGTACACAGGACAAAGTGTATCTGGATGGAACATTTTTGCTGACCATAGCGTGCCAGCGCTTTTCAACAACGGTATAAATTTTTTCCATAGGGAAATCTCCTTAGACTCAGAGGTCCTAACAGCACCAATTATGGAATGATGCAAAACAAAAGAGGTCTATGTAAAACACATCGGTCATTTTTGGTGGGGAAAAAAAGCAATGAAAAAAGTGTGAGATTTTAATAGGATTGCCACTTCAGCATAGCAATATAAGCTCAAGGACACTTGATCAGTAGCTTGTAACATGTGAAAATGCTTGGATACCTGGACATTTTGTGTCCAGAAGTAGAGTTCATTTGTTCCTGGACAGGCATCCTAAACGTAGACAATCCAGGGAAATCCTGGATGGGTGGCAATTCTAGGTTTTAATACTTTCCACGTCCATCAAATAAATATATGTTACACTGAGGGCAGGTTCACCCTGTTGGGTGAATAAAAAAATTTTGCAGACAGCAACATAATGATGTGTCATGAAACATCATTCTCAGAGCATCTCAATTTGTCCATCATTTAATGAAAGATAACAAATTTATCCACCCATGAGTGATGATGCTGATGCTCTATGGAGTGAACTGCTCCCAAAATACAATGAGCAGTTACGCAGTGATCCAGCGATGAGCTGAAAACTGTTGACCACAGATGCATTTATATGTAGACATATGCATCATGATCTTCATACAGCAGTAATTGTAGTCATTTTTCAAACAGCAGACACTTGTAAGTCACATAGTCTGTTTCTGTCTGTATTTATTGAAACCAGAATGACTGAATAAGCTTTCATTCTTTAGACTGAAGGCCATATGGACTCCTGTTAACAATACTAGAGACAAAGTGTCCAGCAAGGATGCGAATGTGATGCACAGAGTGACCATGCTATTCACCAATAGCTGGAACAACAGAAATTGCCATTATTACACAGCATTATGTCTTTGGTGTTCTACCCCACCAAGACCATTCATCCAGTTTGATGGGTTTGGCCTGACAAACAGGCTAGCCGCATTTGCAGCAGAAGCTGTGACATGCTCTCTCTTGTGGGGGCAATAAGACTGAAGACAATGGAGTATACTAACACGTCAAGGTTCAAAGCAATTGCTTGGCTGGAACAAAACAGAGGAGGGTGAAAAAGCCAAGAGACGTCCGGAGAGAAGTCGTTTTCAGCTTTTTGACCACACTGTCATCTAGCGTGCTAATGTCCATTAGATTTCGACTGACGTGAATATGAGGCATAATTTAAAATGGAGTCTGTGTGGTGGAACAAATGAGATTTTAAAGACAGTGTCATTAGCGGCAATGGAATGTCTGAAAAGGTTTGTCCACTTTTCTGAGAGGGCACAAAGCAACTTTTCTAATCTTGAGGTCAAAATCCAGCATTTTGTTAGCTTTGTTGTTACACAGAACATAAGTTGCACAGCTCCCTTCCCCATGCCAAAAATGACATCATGAAATTTACTGTTATTTATTATTGACCTTGCTTAGCTTGTTAAAGGCCTAATACATTTCTAAAGAGCATAGACCTCTCGTGAACCAAAACTGTGACTGGGCATATCAAAGTGTGACAAATCTAATAAAATTACTGTTTTGTTTTTCCTATCATGCATCTGGAGCCATAATTCAGTATTCCATCCAAGCTGTCAGGTGCAGAGAAAAGAAAGAAAAGGTATCTTGACAATGAGATGAGAGAACTGTTTAAAAATTTTAATCAATAATAACTGATAGCTGATAGCGGCGGCCCCGCTCTGTGAGTTTGCATGGTTCACCGCTTTGTAGCTGAGCTTTTTCAATAGAAAAAATATCCAGCATAGAAGAGAACGATGTGTACAAGTTAAACTGAATAAAACTATAAATTATCTATAACCACTGTCTTTATTATTTAATATTTCCCTGAGAAAACCAAATATACAGATTTTTAAATATTTATGGATAACCAACACAGCAGCAGCTTCAGTTTAGATGTTTGGGCAGCTGCTGAGTCTTACTGAGCTGGAGCTGTGTGTGTTTAGCCTTATGTTCCGACTTTAAACTAGGTCGATGATTACAGCTGTAGGTAAAATAACAGCATATAGTGTTTAGAATTTTTGACTTAGTTAACCAAAAAAGTCATGATTTTAGTCTTTTTTTGTGCTTTCTATGTGGTTTCTGATGGTTTCCCCACCACTTACACCTGCTCAGGGGGATGTCTGAATATTTAGTAATTACTATGCTCAACGTTAAAACTAGTTTGTGTGATGCAACCCATTCTGATTTAGTAATGCATAAACCTGAACTTAGTAAACACTTACCTTACAACTAGCCTACCTTTGAACTTATGCACAGCTGGTGCAACCAGCCACAGTTCATCATTCTGTACACATCTAACATTTCATTATTTCTTAACAGTTTACCACAAACCTATGAAGTTGTACAGTATACGCATCTCAAAGTGGAATGCCAAAGATTTTTTTTTAATTCCTGCAAAATGAAATCATTATAATGGTAAACAAAGTCATTCAAATTGGTTTGATGTGAAATGTGTCATTCTAGAGAATTTGTTCACAGTGATGGTGATAGGAACCAGACATCTGAAGAGTTTAATGCCTTTAGTAGCCGCATCACAGAAAGTTATTACACGACATGTTTACGGATACTCTAGCTGATGCCTGAGATATTTTTTTTTTCCAATTAATTTATGATACCCTAATGTGGAAGCATTTTTTTTAATACACTCAGGGCAGTAAAATTTTTATATGCATAGTAAAATAGTGCCTAAAGAAAACTTTTTTTTTTTACATTTCAGATTTACTTCTATTTTGCCTATATCAACATTGCATATAAAAAGTCAGAAGACACATGTTTCACTGGCCATTTTGGACAGTGTAAAATGGCTATATTTGTTGTTATGGCTGAGTCTATGGTCTGACCACAAAAGAAAAGAGTTATA